TTTTTATGTTTCCTCGCTCAGTCGATAACGATATTGCTTATGTGAATATTGGCTTCGAAGGGTCAAATCCTGAAGCTTCCCACCGTAATGGCATAACCTTTGCATTCTAAGATGCACATAATGCTGAAGAATCGAGTTAAACAACCAAACTGCGCTTTACCTTTGTTGATTTGTGGTAGATGTTGTGTGGTGTTGCTGGTTCATTTAAAAAGAAACGAAGAAAACCGTGCAATCCGATAATAAGCCGTTGCATCAAAGCGAGATTTCCCTAGTATCTGAGTTCACTGCAATGTGCATGTCTGTTCATCGGAGAAATGTGCTCGGTCTTGGGGCGCTTGCAAACTGATCCCGCATACTTGTTATTGCTTTGCGTCTGTTTGTGGGTTTAGCGAATTCCTTCCCTTCTGTCGCCCCCACCTCCACCCCACACACATTCAGCGTGTGGAACAATACAGGCCGGGCGAGATCGCTTCCTCTCACTGAATCAGTAAGGAAATCGCAAACTGCAGCTTCGTAATAGAAATATCCTGCATATATAGAAACATATCTGTTTTTCTTCTGACTTCTTTCCTTTTCAGTTTTTTCCTTTCCTTTGTTCCCTCTCCTCAATGTCCTTCCTTCTTTTTTGTGTTTTTATCTTTCCTCCTTTTTCTTTTCCTTTTATTAAGAGTGTTACAGCTCCCAGCTTCCCATTACATTATCATGATGGAGTGCTTAAATAAGCACAGGGAGAACTTAACTCTTACCTCTGTCACAGGTGTAAATCAGTCTCTTGTGTCTCCAGTATTTCGTAACACATTATAGATCATCCTCCAAAACAATGTTTCGAGCAACTTCCTTTCTCTCTCTCTCTCTCTCTTGCATACATTACTGACAATATAGTTATCATTACAGCATTCGACTTGCTTCTTGGTAGATGTTCTACAAACCTACAATTTCGAAATCATGTTCTCTCTCACTACACAGGGAGCAATTCCTGCCTCCTCTTGTCGCTCCAGTTCGCAGACCAAACAGCTCATCGTGGCCCATGACGTTTCCTCTCCAACCACCAACACAGGACCGGGAGTGGGTCCCTTGCAGAGCACCATTGTATTTCAGAAACCCCTCCTCCCTTCAAACTGAAACTTCTGAGGAAGTTATTCAGTCGAGAAATTGAACAGAAAAGAAATAGAAGCTGAAGTTTTCGGACATACGGAGATAAGTCAAAACTTTTCGAAGACGGAACTAGAAATGAAGAACACGTTTGTTTCCAGTTATCAAGTTTAAACTATAGAAGGCTAATATAAGTCTTTTATATAAAGGAAAAATTACTGTATATCATATGTAGTACTTGGTCCATAAACGTTCTATGTCACTAGCTTGATACCACTAGAAGTTTTGAATGAAATTTAAGTTTTGGGGAGAAATCCATTTTCTGAACTGATCGAATAACCTCAGGAGAAAAGATGAACAGAAAATTAAGAAACCAGACACTCAATATAATATTTAGAGGTAAGCTTACGGAGCGAAATTTTGTACAGAACTTAATTTCTATGGAAGTTCTGAATTGTATAGAACAAGGTTTCGCGACATACAATTCGTTGTTCTGTACATATATACGATAAAATTTTTGTATTGCCAGATGAAAGGTAACTTGTGTTCTGGGACTTCCGTACATATAAATAAGGGTTCAATGGTTTATTTCTTCACCATCTTGCATATGCTGATGAAAACAGTGACCAGGCTCTGCGTGATCACAGTTAATCGAAGAAACGTAAACTGCAAAACGTCAGTTGAATTCACAAGACAGAAAATGCGTGAACTTAAACAACCGAAGGGAGTGCCTGCTTCAAAGGCAATTTTAAAAACTAACATGGCAGAAATAGAGAAGAAAATCGTAACTTAAATTTCTGTATAACAAAGTTGACGTCAGCAATTTCCAAATTGGAAAGAGTGGTAAGATACAGGACATGGTACTTAGTACAAAATTCATGACGAATGATCCTCAAACAAACCTACTGCTCTTTACTGCTACTTTGAAGCTATGTGCTTCGTATACAAATAGGTGCCAAACGTCTAAATGGAGTGTTTGCCTTTCTGTCTCGTTTTCGAAAGGTCATGGGCTTAAATCCGGGCCCGTAGACGGGCCATTTTTTCTGACGTTTTACGTGGTTTGTCCTCAGTTCTTCCAATTCATTTTTCACTGATCGTGTTGTTAGTCTCTGTATAATCTTAGCATTTCATAGCGTCTTTAAATAAGCCAGAAATATATAAACATCAGGTATAAAATACCATAATGCTTATTCAGGTCTTACTGCATGCTTTAAGCAATCAATTACATACGTAAGAAAGTCAAAAATTATCCGCACTCTGTTTTTCCAATTTATATATACAAAAGTAAGGATTGAACGAGTATGCCATTTTTCTACATAGTCTCCTTCCCTTTCGATGCACTTGGTCCAGCCGTCCACAAGCTTGCGTATTCCCTCCAAGAAGGTTTTCGGTTGGTCGCGCAACCATCTCCTTCCTTGTTGATGCACTAGGTCCAGCGGTCCACAAGCTTGCGTATTCCCTCCAAGAAGAAGGGTTCCGGTTGGTCGCGCAACCATTTATGCATCGCTTCCCGCACTTCTTTGTCCGTAGAAAATCGACGACTTCGCAAAGCATCTCTGAGCCATCGAAAAAGATGACAGTCGGAAGAGGCGAGCTCCGGGCTGTAGGCAGGGTGTTCCAGCACCTCGAAACCCAAATGGTTAATGGTTTCAACGGTCTGACCGTCCTTGTGTGAGTGTTCATTGTCATGCAACAACAACACTTTCTTTGACAATAGGCCTCGGTATTTGGTGCGAATTGCTGGCTTCAGATTGTTGGCCAGCAAATCACTGTATCTTGCACTGTTCATTGTATACCATTTTTCCATGTAGACTTCCAGTATAGGCCCTTTTGAGTCCCAAAAAACGGTTAGCATCGCCTTTCCCGCGGAAGACTGAGTCTTGAATTTCTTCCTCGTTGGTGATCCCGGGTGTTTCCACGCCATACTCAGGCTTTTGGATTCTGCCTCATAGTGATGGACCCATATATGAATTTCAGTCCATGAAACACCTTCCAACCAGAGAAATCGGATCTGTATTCTTTGTTAATCCTTGGTTCACTCTGCTAGTGGAGCGGCCATGTTTACACTATCACAGCATCAAGAAAAATGACGCAATCAAAGTCAAACTTCGATCACATGATCACAGTAGTACCAACTCTAAGCATGCATGCGCAGAAAGCAGTGTGACAAACCTAAAGATTTGTTATGGCGAAAGTGCGGATAATTTCTGACTTTCCCCTCCTATAAAGCACAGGCACACAACATTGTCACGTGTAGGGTTGACTATAGACAGGTTTTGGATTGTATTAATTGATATATTACACCTTATACATTCATAACTCGGGCCTACAGGTAATACAGCGCTGCTGCTGATTTACACATTTAAGATTTCACTGTTCACACGCACTAGGGTTCTCAGGCTACACTTATGGTGTCCTGGCAACGGATTATCAGTCTGACTGTAATTTAAAATCACACATGAAGTCTTCTTGCCACAGTCCAAGTCATTTATTGCCATTCCTTCTCAATCACCTTGGACTGTCATCTCCAGGACTCGACCCAACTCTTGACAACAACTCTCACTTTCACTGCTCACTCTACTGAACACTTCTTTACAACCACTTTGCACGGACAACGCAGAAAACACAGCCACTATTGTTAAAAAGGAGGCGTGTTTACTGATTCGTTGCCTATGAATGATGGCTCCCGCGGGAATGTGTTAACCGAGTCGTTGCCTAGCAGTGGGTCTATACATCACAATATGGAGAAGTGGATGGACGCCAAAGCAGTGTAAGCATTCCTTAAAGGATGCTTTCTCCTGGGATATAACGTCATGTATTTCGGTGAAAATCACCGGACAGTTTGGAAGGACGTATCACCTCTATCGTCAGGGTCGAAGAGAAAACCAAGCAAGAAACAAGCATGAAGCTACTGCGTGTTTTGACTTATTCGAAGAAAATCCATATACTTGTCCAGAATATTATGTTCTATGCAGTTCCATGCAAGTATTCTACACAAAATTCCAGTGTAAACACTTCTTAAGAAAATTATTTCTCAAATGAAAAACAAAATATGTTCCTGTGTATTTTATAGGCTAACTAATTCTGTGGTAACAGAACCCAAAGATTCAACACTATTAACTCCAAAACCCACCACCGCTCATGACACTCAGCCTGTTACATTCTCCTGAAATTCTCACAACCGGCTTCCACAAAGATCCATCTTAATGTTATCTTCCTAGCTTCTTTTTGGCCGTTTAAGTGCCCCCACCAAAATAGGTATTAAGACAAATAAGATGAATTATCTTAACAAGTTTTAGCGAGTGTAAATTTATCATAGTTGACAAATACGGACTTTTTAAATACTTTTTAAATGGTGTTGTGAAAACATATGAGGGCAAGCAATGCAATAGATTGACGTAATTGGGACACCTGATGATGGCACTATGTTGCCGAAACATGTTGTGAAGTGACAGGTGAAACTGAGTGCACTACAAGACGGCCACTGTATACATATAATGGATGAAAATCAGTGCAACAGGACGCTAAAATATAACACTGTACATTTATATTTTCCCATAATTGCTTCCTGTTACATCCATCGAATTGTTCTTTATCTGTTTCTTAAATATTATTCGTTGAGAAGAAAAAATTAAGAAGGTTTTAAGTTCCGGGAGAGTGAAAAATTATATTCTGGAGAAGTTCCATGATGACTTACAACGTGTTTATACTTACGAATATAGTGTTTGTCTAGCGGTACACGCCGTGTTACAGAATTCGTCTGTGCGCGATTAATAATATTTAATTGATTAATTGTACATGAATATCTTTTTGGCACCATGTTGCTTTCATATGCACTCAGTCTGGAATTTATATTACAGTCAGTGGAGCAGTTTTCTTATTCTGTTTTTTTTTTTTATTTATTTCAGTGGCGCCACAACGACCGCGGGTGGAGTATAATACAAGTCAAGTACTTCCAGGGCATAATGTTACGGCCCAGGCTGGAGAGCGGGCCACAGTCAAGTGTGTTAGTCGCTATGGGAATCCCCCTGCTAGACTCAAATGGTTACTCGGTAAGTCAGCACTTCCAACTTAGTTAACTGTCACCCAACTTATATTATCTTTGTCAGGTTATATCATTAGTAAAGGTTCAAGTTGGTATAATTGTTTAAACTCGTTACCTTCCAGATTGTATGACATTTAGGAACACAAACAAATGGGCTTGTTTCATTGCAAAATATTTCGTTGTCATGGATACGACTAAGATGCTCGTCTGAGCGTACTGTAAACTGTGCTTGGTAGTAGATCAAATCACATTCTATAGTACTCGTCTACGCAAGTGTGGAAATTTTGTATATTTTACATACCTCTCCTGTTTTGATATTAATTTCTTGCATATACGAGCAAACACCTGCATATCCAGTCACAATGATGATACATTGCATAAAATCACGAACCATCTGTCCTATTCTTTTGTTCAATTTCATCATTTCGAAATAAGTGTTTCAGATATTAATAAGATCTATAGTTTATGCTACCAGACAGATTTTTTATAAAATAAGAATCTTTGCATTTATGTATAAAGAACATGTATATTTTCTCATTTTTGTTTAGTGTGTAACAGGAATTGACCGCTTCTGTTGTCTAGTGGTCAGAGTTCCTGGCTACAGATCCAGAGGTCCCGGGTTCAATTCCCGGCGCTAACAGATTTTCTGAGAAATATTGAGTCTGGAACGGTGTCCAATCAGCCTCGTGATGATAATTGAGGAGCTATTTCAAGGAAATAGCGGCCCGGTCTAGAAAACCGAGATTAACGGCCGTGGGGATTCGTTGAGCTGACCACGTGACACCCTCTATCCGCAAAAGTTGACACCAACGTTACCGACAAGTGGCGGTCGCTCGGTCGGTATAGTTCGCTTGTGGACTACAGGCCACGGAGTTTTTTTTGTGTAACAGGGATTACACTGGACTGAGATGAGCCAAGATTAATTACGCCAAGTAATCTCAGTGCAGTCTCCAAAATCTAATTAAGCCGGCTAACTGCTCTTTGTGTCGATCACAGGTGATGAAGAACTCACTACGAGTACGAATCAGAGCAACTCAACAGAACTAGACAATCCCAGAACGTGGGTCGCCACGTCAGTTCTGGAACTGAGCTTCACAAAGCAGCAACACGGCAGAGTGCTCAAGTGCGTTGCTCTGCACGAGTCATACTCCACCAAGTCTCAAGTCATAGAGGTGCGGCTCAACGTCAGATGTGAGTACCGAAGCTATTTCTTTCTTTTTTGTTTCTTTATATATTTATGTGGCCGGTCACGGTAGCCGAGCGGTCTAAGGCGTGCACTGTCTTCGCTCGCTCGGAAGCCGGGATCGTGGGTTCGAATCCCGCTCCGGGCATGGATGTGTGTGTGCGTTTTTCTGTGTTTGTGTACAGATAGAGGCCTTGCGACGAGCTGATCATCCGCCCAAGGAGTCCTACCGAATGTGTAAGATCTAGAAAAACCGAAGTGAACGGAGAAGTTCATGAAGATAGGCCTAGGCCCACTGGGGCTGTAGTGCCAAGGAAGAAATATATATATATATATTTATGGGAGTTGGTGTGTTTATTTGGTGACACATTGACTTTGCTGAGCGATTTGCTGTTGTGGCTAAGTGACTGACTTCTGATATTGTCTCTAGTCAACTGACTGATTTACTCGGGTTAATTAACTTACGACCTCTCTGATTGGTTCTGTCATCGACTGACAGCCTGTAGCCAAATGACTTGACTCAGTTCAACTGACTGGCTAAGTATCTGACCTAAGGTCTATGCGATTGACACTCTGATTAACCTGAGTGACTGACTTGCCGGTTCACGCTGCAGGTATCCGAATATTATATGCGAATATTGATTTAATTATTTCGTCTAATTGGAAAAAACCTTCTGTTTTCGTGAAAGTGCGTTTCTATGTAAGTTCTCCGAGTTAGAGCATAGATTGTTGCTAGAAGGTGTAAACGCCAGACCTCAGAGTCATTAAGTTGCTACTGTTATTATTTACATTAAAATAAATTAAGAACAAAATTTATGTAAAATCCTGAATATATATAATAAAATTCTAAGGCGAAGAGGAGGGAAGGCTGGATATTTTGGAAGATAAAGCTGAGGTTACTGACGAGAAAGTTTAACAGCCACTCAATAAGATCATACATCTCAGACTGTAAACATAAAAAAGACAAACTTGTCCTTGTGCGTAAGCACCAGGCCGTGAAGGCGTATAAGAGATTGGCTATAGAGCCCCGTGCATTTACAGCCTTGGCCATAGAAAAGGACGAGCGATGAGTGTGATATGCGCGCAGCCTTATCGCTGGAGAAAGTGCTTCCAGTACCCATTGCTTACGGGGTTAACATCCTGGATTGAATAGGGTAGAATACGTGGAGGAGAGAACTGGATCCTTTGATACGGGCGGTATGAATAAGCGTATAGAAGGCCAATATAAGTTTAATATTAGTGTAGACTCACGGGAGGGATGGATCGAAGGGTAGGAGCGTGTAATTGAAATGGTAATGAGAAGAGGTTCTATTTTTTTGCGTCGTAAATTCGAGACATAACGAATGCCTATAGATCTTGAATTGAATCGAATTTATTTCAAGAGGAAGAAGTTCATTGTGTTCCTAGTAACTATGAGATGTTGGAAGAGAAGCTGCCGCTTTTTATAACCAAGCGGGATTGCTAGTCTTTACGAGCGAATGGAAATATTTTATGATTATACCCTGCAATATTACAATGGAAATTTTTGTAAACGGCATTTGGCATTAAGTTTGAAGAAATCAAGTTGTAATGATTAGTTTCAATCATTTTGACTTCACTGAGAATAACACATGTAAGTTCATCGTGGTCTGAGTTCAAATAACATAATTGAATTCTACAAGCAATAGACATAGATTTTAATAAATTATGAATCTTTCATTCAAATGCAGTATTCTTTATTTTCCTTCTAACGCCGCAGCCCGGTTAGAATGTTCGCAACATTAACAACAACAGCCATCTTGCCTATCCGGCTTCCAATTAATAAGCACAAATTTCTAGCAGCTCATTTTGTAACATATAAGCCAGGTTTGGACGTTCATCCAGCTAGTCGCTCTATTCTTATCTCGTTTTCTCTCTACAAAATTTAGAGCTGAAGAAGAGAAGCATAACAACCAATGCTAATATAATCCATCCCTTTACAAGCGTTTCTGACACTTTGAGAACCTATGTACATAGTATTTATACGTACTTTTGCAAGTATGTATAATACATGGCAACATATTAGTTTCATGTACAGTACATACATCCAGGCTTCGTGCAGCAGATTGTGTTGTATCTTATGTTGATGACGTTACAAGGGCAGCTTAGGCACTTGAAGGGTCGCACGTTTGACCGCCACCGAGTTTAAGCCTCTTATATTTTATGTGTCAGGCTTGACTTTGTCCTCTGTCGCGAATGTTTGAATTTCCGCGATTTTATATCTTCTGCTTGCTGCCTGAATAATTTTGTTACATTACTATAAATATAAAATGCTTGCAAAGCCATATGCAAATCGTAAGCCAGTGTGCACTCTGGCGGTTTTCCAATGGTGCAAAGAATCTTGTCCTGTAGGTGTTGCCAGTTCTCAGATGGGTGGGCATAAGTCATCATGGAACTAATGAGCGAATTATAGATAGTTACTGTAACTTTAGCGCCTAATAGCTCATTTCTAATAGGGAATAGACCGAAATTATTTTGAAGGCCTTGTCTTCCTTCATTCCTGTATATATTGTCCACTTGATTACACTGAGATACTGTCACGATTTAGGGGTGTGACCTCAGATGGGGTGTGGATTGGTGAGCGGATTTATTGACCACTTATACACACTACTCGGAACTACGAGCAATTATGGCACTAGCGGTAATCTCCACACTTTACAAATCATCACAATACCCATTAAGCCTTTTCTCATCATGCTATACCTCACCAGCTGTTCCCTGGTAACGACTTCAACAGTGTAGATTCTTCAGCTTCACGCGCTCAGGTTCCATTTTCCCAGCCTCCTGTGCAGTACTCAACACTCAAGTGACAACTACCAGACTAGTGGTAATTTCACACCAATCTCCTAATCTCCTCTTCACAGGCTCAATGTCGACTGACTGAATCAAAAGTCAAAGTTCTTTTACGACTGGCGGTTTACAGTCAATCAGTTCGTCTTGGCATCAGGACCCTTGAGACCCACAACCAGAGATTTTCTTTTCAACTGAACTCTTGGTGGTAACAGTCCTTATGTAACACCCTCTCCGACGAGTTACTGACTGACTGACTGACAATCGCCCCAATTGTCTTACCGCTTTGCACGAAGCGAGCAGAAAACACCGTTTCCAACAGTAACTCTATTGTTGTGGAGGTCTTTATCGCCCTGTTGCATAGCAGCGACTGTTGTTTCGTTGTTTATTTCGAGATTTTTCCTTAGCAAAGCGCCTATACGCCACAGTACTTTACACGATATACGAAGGGAATGTTCCATGATCTCACTGTAGTATGAGCCTAATTCGGTCTAATTTTCTGGGAGAAATAGATGGCTTCATTCATTTATATCTTCTGCCGCGCACACCAGATCTCCGTTGAAGTGAGACCGCTCTGTAGTTATCTGAGAACGCAGACTTCTTGTAACGTGTTGCATGCGTAAAGATGTCACCAGCTAACACAGCTGAATATCACAAGGTGTGGGGGCATTATTTATGTACAAGCTGAACAATGTGGGTGGCAAGACAGATCCTTGCGGCATCCCTTTCAGAAAGAAAGAGCTAATAAGCTTTTATTAAACTTGTCGGAAATTCTAAATCAGATACTTTATACAGGTATAAGAAGCAAGCGTGCCGATTTGTGTTGAAGATTTTTACTTAATCCAAGAATCCCGCAACCATAGATATATTGCTGTTGAAAATAAATGGGAAACTCTCTGTAAACCTCATACATTCGATTGTCGTGCTTTGACTTGCACGGGTTTTCCTTAAGCACGTCTCCTTCTTCAAAGAAAATTTGGATTCTTCTAGGATGATTCTCTTGATTAGTTTGTCCCTCGAGGACAGAGTTAATTTGACGTAAATATTTTGAAATAGAGAAATAATTTATTTTACATAATCCATCGCCCTTGTTGAATTAGTTCATTTTGATTTGTTGTCTTACCGGACTACCGATGTCAAAGGATTATGTTCAAAAAATTATATTAATGTACGTTACACAGTAATATCTGCAGTTTCTCTGTGGTTTCAGCTTCAGTTTTTAAGTTTGGCTCTTGCTTTATGGATTTTAGCCGGAGTGCTCTGAACAGCCACAACTGTGTCCCTGAATTTCGTTACATCCATACCTCCTTCAAAGCTATGTTTTCCCTTTTCAGCAAGCTCGTTCTATTATTTTATTTTTCCAGTAACTGCTGTATGTCCAATATGTTCGTTTCCTGTTATATGACTTCTGTGGCAGAATTCGGAAGCAATGCAAATAGTGCTTCCCCACTTTACGTAAGTTATGCACATCTCTTATTACTCATATCAGTATGTGGAGTTAATATAGATTGATTTACCAATCAGTTAATCAGTACTAGGCTGATTTTCATTGGCTGTGAGGTGGAAGAGAACTGGATTTGCGGTCGTCCTCTAGAGACAGGATCGATTCTATTTTCACATTTATTCTAGAACATTTCTTGGGATCATAGCCGCATTAAGCTTGTCTTCTAAAAGTTGCGGTTCTGTGATCTTCAGGAAGCGCATACAAGACACTACTCCTTAAGATAAATTACCGCCCACATTTAGGACACAATATCTGCAACTGTCCTCTGCCTCCTTCGAAACATTGCAACTTCATCCATTTATATGCGTGTAATTGTCTGATTGACTCACTGACTGTCTGTCTGTCTGTCTGTCTGTGAAAGAGAACTCATTACATTTCTAGAGGAGACCAAATCGAATTTCCAAGCACGCTAGGAACTTGTCATAAATAAAACAAGGTTAGAAGTATGCCATCCTTACCGAAGTGCCCGCACTTACCAGACGCATCTTGGCCTTTTCAGTTCGAATACGAGCCTGTGCATATTTCATGAAGCTAAAAAATATATTGCTGTGGTACGTTTGGTTGCTGTCGTAAATAAGATTACTGTTTTACCGAGATTTCTATTGTTAATATAATTGTGCCTCCTGCAGTTACAATGGTTACCGCATTTCCATAACGGCGTTAGTATCGCTCAACCTCAAAGTTCGTGCTTCGGCC